AGGGGGGTTGGACTGGGTGACCCACAGAGGTCCCTTCCAACCCCGACCATTCTGTGATTCTGTGATTCATCTGGCATCTGCCTGGGCACAGCTTCCTAGTAAGAGACGTCCACCAACCCCTGTCCGCGGGGAACGGCACTGAGGATGCCAAGCTGAGCTGTTCCACGTGCGGGAGGCTTTCAAAGCGGCGCCCTAAAGGTGAAATACCAAAAAAGAGTTTGTAAGAGCGGGAGCACTAAGAAAGGATATTTTAATTTAAGAATGCCTGAAGCGGCTGAATAGTTTTGTGGTTTTGAGTCTTTGGACCACAACATGTCCATGCTAAAAAATTACAATAAAATAATGAAAAACTTGCAGTAATCTGTTACTAGCCTAGGCCCAGGCAGGCGTGCATGTTCACTCACATAATAAAGAGAAAACAGAATAGCAGGAGTTTTCCAATTTTATTGTAGGAAAGCACGTAAGAGTTTTTGTGTAATTATTTACACTGATCTCTGTACACTTTTTTTCCCCCCCTTACAATTGATTTAGGAACACTGGCAATGTCTGACTGCTGCACTATAAAGTTCCACACATTAAGCGCTCCTAGAAAATCCTACCAAAGGATTGCTACAAGTCATAGGAGGTTCCTCAGTCCGCTGGAGCCGTGCACAGGACACGCTTCCCAACAGGAATCCCAGAAGGATCGCGTTCTCCGTGAGCGCCCGTCCCGCCGTGCTCCCGGCTCACCCGCTCAGGGCAGCGCTGACGAACTGCCCGCCTGCCGCTTAACTGAGAGCGTGTTTGGCTACTCCAGCTGGTCAGAGAGGCGCTCACTGCCAAGACTGCTGCTGAATTCAAGAACTAAATGGATTTTCTCACCTCACTAAGAGTGGTTCAGGCCCGCCTGACCACGCAGAAAGAGATTCGGTAAAACGCAGCGGGATGGGGTTAGTAGTTTTCCAACCCGTGGCATCTAAAACCACTTTGTCCCTAAAGGCGTATAAATGTGCCAGAGTTGCGTTACGATTCAGAGAGGAGCAGGTCTGACTCTGGTTTCTGCAAACAAAAAAAAGCAACATATTGTTTTGCTGCTGCAACCTGAACTCCATGTCCTCCAAGTTCCAACGCTCGCACCGAGCAGCTCCTCCTGGCCCCGCACCACGGCGTGAACAGCCCGCGCCCTCCCCAGAACCGCACTCGCGTCAGCGCAGCTGCACAGGACGGGAAATAGCTCAGGATTTAGCCTGTGGCGAGCGGCAGTTTCACTCTGAGATCTAGTTCCTACACAAGAAAAATAGCACTTGAGAGTATTTTTTTTTACTAAGAATGTAGATACAAATGCACAAATACAAGCTTTAGACATTAAAAAAAAAAAAACCTGCACAAACCCCCCCGACCTCCTTAGCTTTATTTCAGAGTACTGTAAAAACAACACAGATTTATGTGCCTAAGCATTTACATAGCAAATACCTTAGTAAATACACAGCAGAAAACCTAGAGGCCTTGAAGAGATACTTCTGACATGTGCAAAATGAAGATACAGCCCAATGAAACTCCTACTGGAATGTTGACCAAGAGCTGCCTTGATTCGGTCAATTCAATATTGAAACATCTGCATTTTCTTGAAACTACTTGTAACTAGCTGAACAACTCCCGTATTGCTTTATCTGCTGCTTAAAAGAGGAGATCAGTCGTTCTTCAGCAGCTTTATTTCTGCGGGTCACTTTTTTTACACGAGTGTAAAACCCTTTTGGCTCGGCTCGCTGTCTTGGACCGCAGGATATTGTTTTCCTGGAACGCAGCAAGCCCATAAATACATTTCTTTTAGCGACAGACCTCACCGCCTGGCAGGTTTGGGCATTATATAAACTTTGACAGGTTTGCTGAAGGGTATGGTCCCCTCTATGCCGTTCTCAGATGGCGGGAGAGCCTCCAAGCTCTCGCTCCAGGTGGGTTTAGGAATTTTAGCGGATGCCTTGCTCCTGTTGGAATTGTAGGCCAGCAGCAAACGCACTTCAATCTGACAGGGCTCTGCAGAGAAAAAGAAACAGAACAACCCAAAGGTGACTGTCGGCACTGGGTGAACAGCCAACGCTGAAAGAAATCGTCTCTCACGTATGCTGGGTTAGGCACAGAGCCGTTCTGGGCTGCCCAGAAGCCGATCGGGTGTTTGAAAACACAGCTTTGTCGGGACATTCGGCAGGGTAGAAGCAGGCACCCTTCTAGATCCCGTCTTTGTCATAGCTTACAAAAGGAACCTGATGACTAACTAACAAATAGCAACTTTCAAAAGTAACTGTTCAAAGTTATTCCAACCAAATAATAATAAAATCATAAAAGACCACAGAACCGGCAGGTCTTGCTACCTATATTTTTATGGCAGCATCAAGTAAATCCAGATGATGTCTGACACAGGCTCTCAGTCTACACAGTACGGCTCCGAGCAGCACGCTGGACTATATCCCCATCACAACTTTCCTTTCTAGACTGAAAACCACAATTCCTTTAGGTTTTCCACACTGACCTGTACTGATTTTGGCTGGGATAAAGTTAATTTTCCTTCATCGTAACTCATGTGGTGCTACGTTTCGGATTTGCGACCCAAACAGCGCTGATAACACAGGGATGGTTCAGCTATTGCTCAACAGTGCAATACCCACGAGTTTTCTCACTTTCACCCTTCTGCTTCTCTTCCCTGTCCCACCAGGGCAGAAAGCGAGCGAGCACTGGGCGGGTGTGGGGGGCTGGGCCATATGCCAGGCTTCACCCACAACAGGAGCCTGAATGAATCCTACTGAAAGCCACCTCATTTCAAGCTGCGATGCCCGGAGCTGCAGCCGTACTCCAGCCGAGACGTCACCCGCGCCAGGCAGAACACAAGAAACAGCCTTTTCCCACAGTTACCCGCAGCACAGCTAACGCCTCCCTCACACCCGCTTTTTCGTCATATTCTCAGCTCCTCTTTTATTTGTAGCTTGCAGTCACCTCTGTCGCTTCGGCTACGCGCCCGTCAGCCAATCCGTGCTTTGTATTTGGGCATTCTCCTTCCTGAGCACACGCTCTTTACTGGCCTTCAGGAAGTTTCACTGTTCTGAATTCAGGCAATTTCTCCAGTCTGAATCCTGACCTCGTTCCCTGAAGCCCTCCCAGCTTGGTGTCCTACCCATGATTTATACGCCCAAGTGCCGATGTCAAAGTTCACAGAATCACAGAACGGTCGGGGTTGGAAGGGACCTCTGTGGGTCACCCAGTCCAACCCCCTG